AAACCATCTCCTTCCAGCTGCAGGTGAAAATGGGAACTAYGCTTAGCTACTGCAAGGCAGCAGTGACTAACACAGTTACCTCTGCACTGTTGATCAAAAACTGTATAATGAAGGGCATAAAAGGTACACACTTGCACTGAAGTCTCCAGCTTCCTGGATTTCCTCCTCCTAAAGTGTCTGGTGAAAAGGTGGTGCAGGATCAGGACCAGTGTTTGCACTCAGGGTGTGGCAGAGACCAGCTGAGAGATCTCTGGTTTGTTTTGGCTTCTGCAGTTAGCAAAATAGTGAGAGCAAGCACAACAGCCATGGCTTTGATTTGTTACAGGGGCAGTAATCTCTGCATGAGCTCAGTTCCCACAGCATGGCCTGTTGGCACTGGGCAGTACTGGATGAAATTCAATGCATTTACTGGAGTTTGATTCAAAGACCTCAAGGGAAATGTGACAAAATCCCAATGAGATGCAGCTCTAGATCTCTCCGTGGTGAAATACCAGTGAGACAAAGCAGTAGGGTCTGTGGAGAGCATCAGTGAGRTGTGACATCTGAGGGGTGGCTGTTCACGTTTTTAGGGTCCTGTGTTACCTGTTTATTYCTGGCAGGTCACTGCAATAAGCTTTCTGTGCCCCTAGGCTGACTGTGTTCATAAGGGTGCTGACAGTAATGGAAAATAAGCCTGGGATGGGCTGTTARGCTTGGGTCCTTCCCCTTCTTTGTGTAATAAAGTGTTTGTATGTTTTGGCATTTGGCTTCAGCCAGGTTTATGTAAAACAAAATGACAAGGGGGTGGATGTAGAGAGCCTGGTATGTGACACAAACACTTCCTGACACTTCTCCCTGTCCGAAGCACAGCTGGAGTTCTGAGGTGCTTCTGGTGCACAGAAGACTCTTCCAGTGCCTAAACCCTGCTCCTCTGCCTCTTTGCTCCTTCAGCTGCAACTGCCCTTGTCCTCTTCTGTCAGGGACAGCACAGTGACAGCTTTTCTCCTGCCCAAGGATTTTAACTTACCTGGTGGAGTTTGTGGGCCTGTGAAGATCAAGAAACCCCACCTGAGCTGTCCCATCTCTCCAATTCCATAACTCCTTCATCAGTTATCTGCAGGAATTAAAAAGAACAGCAGCATCAGTGCAAGTCCCTTCCTGTGTTCATTAATCTGTTGATAAAATTCACTCTTACAGCTGAAATTATATAGGTGTGGAGCTACAAACTACCATCCTTAGCCTCTGTTTTCCTTGCACACTCTCAGGYAGCACCATTAGCTTTGAATGCAGCTGTTTCAGTAGCTGGAATTGCAGAATGCTGCATCTGGCTGGGCTGCTCATCCTCCCTGAGACACAGGTGGAGGGTGACATTGTCTCTCATGCTTTGATGCCAAAAAACACCCTTTAAGTGGCTGTATTTGAACAAGGGATCTGTTTTTCATAGACTAAGCCTATAAAGTCTCATTACCTTTCAAGGAAGTCTGTCCATGGACTTTCCATCACCTGAAATTTCAGGTTTCAGTGTGTTCACAAGGCCTTTTGGAGATGTTTTTAACCCCCCAACATCTGAGGAAGTTCAGAGAGGAGAAATCTGCTGGGGTCTGCTATTAGTGACTGGTCCCCCTGTGTCCCTTCCTAAAGCACTGCTTCAAGCAGGCACTYGATGGCACATTGCAGCAGAAACACAGAATTCTCTCCCCTGAAGTTAAGGGGAAGGGTCTTTAATCAGAGGCAGGAGTTGCTGCTAARTCCAGCTGTCCCTGTAGCCCCAGTACTTCTGTCAGCTGAATGAACTCCTGTCAAAAACTCAGTACTAAAAGACTCCTGCTCCGTAACTCAAAAATTGAGTTATTTTCAGGCTAGAAGGACCCCACTGAAGCATTTTACTGTTGGTTGTAAAAGTTAAGTGATGTTAAGTACAGCAGCCTGTAAAAAMCAGGACATCATTTCCTAATACGTTTCTCAGTTACAAAAGCCAGAGTCTGGCTTGCTTAGATAGGAAGAAAACAGGGCTTTGGGAGAGCTGCAGGATACAGAAACACAGGTGGTGTTTAACTTAGGCATGAAACTTGACATTAACCGTGCTGGCAGCATTYCCAAAAGCTTTCTGCAAGCACAGCCTCTCGGAGCCATGGGCATAGTGGTGCTGCACACACTGAGGTGTGTCCTCCTTCCCGACATCCTGCTCCTGGCTGGAGCTCAGGCACAGAGGTGACACATCCCTGGAGCTCAGTGGGACACATGTCACAGTGCTCCTCACAGCCAGAGCAGAGGGAGCTGCAGGGAAGAAGGGGGATCTGAGTTCTCCCCTTGTTGGCCCTGACTGGAGCAGAACATTCTTGCACTGAATGTGGGCAAGAGGAATTCTTTCAAACCCTGGGACTGCCCAGCAGAGCTGGCTGCTCTACAACCTGTAATCTCCATTAGCTGCTGGCTTGGGGACCAGCAAGACTGGAAAGGATAGAACATTTAGAGAATAATCCTGCCCAGTTCCTGAAATAAGCATAGCTGAYCTGTAAAAGATCCTGGCCAGTCATCTGTTATCTTAAATTGGCTGTCTTGTCCTCATGCAGGTCTCTAACTGGCCGAGGTGCAGTGAAATTAGATCCATTTTACATAGCATAAATATTTAACAGCTCTAGAGCATGTAGTTTAATATTAAACAGACATTCATAAATACTTCAGAGTTATAGACGCTGTCACAGTACATGGAAATGGCTTGATAGGATCTAGGAGAAATATTTAGGTTTGACAGGAGAGGAAGTGTTGGGGTTAGAGAGAATCAGCCACATTTATA